TGACGGAATATAAAAATAACAAAACACCAAACATTTATTTTTTTAATTTATGGTAATTTATTCTTTAAAATTATATATATCACTAAAACATGTCAGTCCCTTAATGCAATAGAGTGTACAATATTTTTTGTTAGCCCATCTTTAGCTAACACAAACAAACTGGATGGTTTGCCCACTCGAGAACATGCCACATAGCCGTGTGAAAGACATGGTGTGCTCAAATCTAAGCCACAAACAGACATCGTTTGGCCTTGAGACGTATTGATAGTCATTGCAAATGCCAATCTAATTGGAAATTGAAGACGTTCAAACTGAATCGGCACATCTGTGGGTATAATAGGAATTCATGGTAGTAATATATTTTTACCTCGGACACATGCCATTTAAAATGCTGGCTTCGACGTTTTTCATCATTTTTTTAATGACTAATCGCGTGCCGTTGCACATCCGTGGTGGGTTCAAATTACGAAGCAAAATAATCGGAGATCCAACCTTCAGTTGTAAATTATGCGGTGGCAAGTCTGGCAAATCCAATGATTTCAAAACCTCTGTTGAATAATTCACAGCTTCGTTGGCATCGCAAACTGTATCAATAGATTTGTATGACACCAAGTCCCCTGGCAACAAGTATTGTATCTCGAGATTCAAATCGTTGACGTCCACATTTTTTTGCTGCTAAAATTGCTATTTCTGGCAGCCACTCATGATTAATATATCGTGTGTGTACATTGGGAAATATCTGGGCAATGAGAGCATCTTGCGAATAAATGATTGTGCAGAAATCGGTCGGTAATCTTATGTATCCAGTTTAATCTAAAGTAATTTTTCCATCGCCGTTACCTAACAGTTACTTTGAGAATGTTTCTGCGGACGGATCTTAAAGCATTTGAACGCGCATATTTACTTTCAGTTGTACTCTTTATGAAATCACTTAATTAAACGTGAGAGCTACACTCAAAACTAATAATTTTATTAATTATTAATAAAATAGGAATAAATAATTATAGCCCTGCAAATTAATTATAAATTAAATATAATTAAAATGAGAGTTTTTCTCTTTTAAAATGATTCTCACAAAATGTTGCACGCACTGACTATAATATTATAGTGTCGTTTAATAATAAACAAATTAATAATTATAAATAAAAACTAATAAATGTATAAGAATAATTTATACGTGTAACACAATAGCCGTTGTTGGTGGAAGCTCGTGACACGTGTTGAGTATTTTTGAGGTTATATGAAATCACTTAATTAACTAAACGTGAGAACTACAGTCAAAGTTAATAATTTTATTATTTAATAAAATATGAATAAATAATTATAGCCCTGCAAATTAATAATAAATTTACTTGAGAATATAATTAAAATGAGAGTTACCCTTAGATAGTAAACTAATAATTGTCGATGTACAAACAATAATAACGGCCGAAAACTGTGTAGGGAGGGAGAGAAGGCTTATTGTGTGAGAGACAGGAGACCAGCTTTGGTCTCATCCTTATTCCGTGCTGTTTACTGGGTGAGAAGTGACACCGGTAGAAGCCTGGCGGGGATAACTGATCAAGTGAATTATTCGAGGGAGACCCAATCCGCCTTGTCCCAGCGGAACCATATGATTAAAAATAGTTAAACCGTCCTCTAAACCATGCTGATAAAACATCACAGAAAACATAAAATAACCAACCAAAAATAAAGAAGGGTTAGTAGAAAAACTAAAGATAAGAAAATGACACAAAACACAAACAAACATTTACGCAATCAAACAATCACAGACAAAAACACTCACAGAGAAGCAGTTTCTGTCACATAATAAAACTCGCTTCAAACAATAACTGATCAAGGGATAATTGATCAGTTACCGACCAGGGTTAAAAATTATTAAATTACTAATATCGCTATTGAAAAATAGGGGTTGGTGGTAGAAGAGCGAAAATTTAGGGTTGTATGTATTTTTTAATGCCACATCATAATAAAATTTTAAAAAACTTTGGGGTGAACCACCCTTATCACTTAGGGGTATGAAAAATAGATTATGACTGATTCTCAGACCTAGCGAATATACATATAAAATTTCATAAAAATCGGTCAAGCCGTTTCGGAGGAGTGTTGTTACAAACACTGTGACACGAGAATTTTATATATTAGATAATTCAAAACGTTTTTTGAAAAATTTCTAAAAATTATTTAAAAACACAAATCTTAAAAATTAATCGTAAAAACGGATGAATTTTATTTGGAATGAACCTAAATTTCGAAATGTTAAAAGAAGAATGAAATAAGTTTAATAAAAAAAAGAGAGATTAATAAATGTATACCAAACTCAATTAACACTGAGGAGCTAAAATTTTGAGAGCTAATTTTTTAAAAGCTACTGGTGCGTTTTACACAACTTGGTAGTTTGGCGTAATTTTAGTCGAAGAATTATTATATGGAAAACAATTTGTATGTTATTTCAGAAAAAGTCCGAGTTTTGGTCTAAATACCTATATTAGAACTATGCTATATATAAATCTAATACATATCCTAAGTCGCGCTTTTGAGACATGGAAAACGCAAGATGAATATCGTCAATCGGTCCAGTAGAATGGGAGACTGTACCCTTTTTTTCGCGAAGTAGACACATATTTTTGTTTCATATTTATGTGGGACAAAATGTGAAACGTTTGAGAACCCCTGATGTAGAACTATGTGATTATAATACTCGTATGCAGAAGAAAGTCAAATTTTTAAAAGATAGCTGCTATCCTGTGAATAAGTCTGTAAATAGTAAACCTCTATGTTTTATTGTAGTGCACTGAGTTCTAGGAAAAGAAGTTTTTTGTGCATGGTGACCATCTACTGAAAACGTAATGGTTGTATTAACATAATATTTTAAAAGTATTCAAAGCGTTTGTGGTCGAATGAAATAATTATCAATGAATGAATTTTTGCCAGAATTCAGATATGGATGCTCATATCTTTCTGTAGTATTTCTAAAATGCCCGAGAAAATGTTTTCCGAAATGGCTTTAAAACTTCGCAGTGACTATGGAGGTTATAAGAAAGCTTACGGTTATCTTTAACGTGTTAACAACAAACATCCTTTGGATTCCAGAATCTCTTAAATCAGTATAACTGCTTCGACAGTGTAGTGATTAGCAATGCCGAGTAGATTTGTTTTTTGTGGCAGAGGGGGGAATTTGGCGTCGAATTCTGTAACAAGCGTTGACGCTTGTAACTATATAGTTCTTTTGCCTCAGGAATGCTCTCAAATTCTGTCGAGTTGAAAACTCTTTTGGGAAACGATGCTAAGGCAATTCTGGTACACGATCCTTGGAAATTATCCCCTCAGGTTGCTTGATCAAAAGTGGGGTGAAACTAATTTTTTTTTTTTAGTCCAAAGGGATTTGAATCCCGAAGGACTATTAGTTTCGTTTTTGCATTTTGCGTCGGACTCATAAATGTCGGTTCACTTTTCAAATTGTTGCCACAAAATATTAGAGTCCTGCATTATATTTGAAGAAATTAAATAATGAAAAATCTGCATAAATGTATGTATATTTGTCGTATTGTGATAAAACAACGGTACATAGAGTCATCGAATTTTGAATAACGTAATCCTCCAACGAATATGAGCATGTGGAAGACCATATTTGAAATTTGAAATTTGTTTTATGATCGATTCCTATTTTTTAAAACTTTGACGAATTTTTGATTAACAAACTCAAGGATTTCAAAGCGAGCAATGGCAACGTTGTGCAGAAAAAACATTTTTATCTCCAGCGCGTGAGTCTCTGTATCGGAAATTCTAAAGATATGCTCGTTTTAAAACTATTTTGCGATATTGCTGTTGCACTGGATCTTATGGTTTAAGTGCGAGGAACATGATATTTAATAAAGAAAGGTAACACACAAAGTGTTAAAAAACGACCCTTTGGACGTAATTTAAAATCTGAAACATTTCAGTTTTTTTTTTTTTTTTTTGCAACAGCGTTCCTTTATATCTTTGTCGCTAACAAGCTTATTGTCTACCAACCCATTATTATTCATGAGACCCTTCCCCTTGTTGTCTGCCCGCACATGGAGTTGAGTGATGGAATATGTTATCTTAATATTAGAAAATAAGTTGAGATGGTATGTTACTGAATAGAATTTTTTTTCTAATTCTCAGAATTTTTTTTTTTTCGATTTTTTGGTGAATGATAAATTTGGTTACGTTTTCATCAAGTCGTTTCGTAATAAGGAAATGGTGCCAAGAGTAACATAAATTTTTTATTTTAGCTGATTATTGCTGAATTTGAGATTCCCTTTAAGTGAGATGTAAAGCGAAGGTTTCGCTAATAATTTAGTTTGGAGCTGATGGTAGCACGCACTCTCAAATTCAGCACTGATTATTGCTGAATTTGAGATTCCCTTTAAGTGAGAACGGCAAACAAGGCTGCTAAACGCTGTAACGCATTCAACACCTTCGTTTTAAATACTTTAATAACTAATTTTCCTTCTGGTGAAGACTACGGAAAGAAGAAGTTACAGTAAAGGTTCATCAGTTTTGAATCATAATAATTGCTTATTAAAGTACAGTAAAGGTTCATATCATAATAATTAATGAATATAAAATCCTTCAAACCTGATGCTACTTGGACGAATGGGCCTTATTTTAAATAAGATAACGGATTTCGTCTCCATGATGAATAAAAATCTATAAAAATAAGAAATTATCCAAAACAAAATGGAGGCTTAATTTATATCAGTTCTTTCATATCATAATACACAATGGCTTTATTTAAACATTTCTTTCCTTCATCATAATCAGCTAACGTTAATAATGTACAGTCCCCTTTCGATGCAATTATATTTGAAAACTTCCAGAAATAACAATGTAGTCTTTCCATAAAATTAACTGAATAGTTAATTTCATTAAATACAGAAAAGCATATAAGCAGCATTAAAATTATCTTTCACTGAGAGATTTGTGCTGCTCGTTAAGTGGATAACATTCAGCATTTTTTCTTTCTTTTGCAGGATTGTTAAGACAAGCAGATAACTTTTCAAGAAAAACGTGCCACTCCAAGGAATGCATTAAAGCTGGTAAGTTCTATAGTACATGATGCAAAACTTCAATGGAAAAAATTTACTATTTAAATTTTATTAATTTATAGGTGATTTTGTTTTTGTTTTCGACACGTAGAAAAATGTTATAGATTTATAGATTTAAAAATAGAAGTTTCATTTCAGTTAGCAACTACAACCTTTTGGTAATTTCATTCAAAAATGTTTGCTTCGTGTTTATGAACCCCCATAATTCTTTAATACATTTTAAACTAGGTTATTGTAATAACTATATTTATAGGGTGACTTATACACTTGAGAAACTGAATAAGCAGAGTTCTAAACTTTTATCGTGGTACGTATTCCATTAACACGAAGCCTAAGTCTAACATTTTATAACTACAAAAAGAAACAGCGTTTCAGATGACTTTCTTTGACTTAGTAATATAATAAAGAATAATAGTTTTGGATTGCAGGTGAATATTTGTAATCTTTTCTTTACGATGTAGAAAAGAATTAATTCAAAATTTATTTTATAAAAGGAAAAAGAATGTGAAGAATAAACCTTCAATTATCATTACATTCATAATATAGATGTAATAATGTAATTTTATAACAATAATTGTATAATATAATTTTTAATTGTATAATGTAATTTTTAATGCTATAATGCAGTGCTCCGCAACCGGTGTGCCGCGGCACACTGGTGTGCCATGAGTAGGATATAGGTGTGCCGCAATCAAATACATGTATTTGACATTTTGAAATTTTTTATCATGTATTTAATACACAATGACAATTTTTTTCCTTAATAATGTCTATTTTAAATGTTTTTATATATTTCACTGTTGTGTGGTTGTGTGTGTGATTGTAAGTGTGTCAGCATTTGCATTTTTTCGGCACTTCCTTGATAACTCGGAAGTCTCGGTGTGCCACGAAATTCCAGAAAGATTTTTTTGTGCGTCGTAGGTGAGAAAAGGTTGCGGAACACTGATATAATGTAATAATTAATAATATGATTTCTAATTGTATAATGTAAAAATTTTAAAATGCAATCCACCTTCAGATAACGAATCCCTAAAAGAAATTTATGAAATCCTATATTGAAGAACTTGTGTTTTAATATATAATTCAAAATGTCAATAATAAAGTTATATTTGTATTTCTTTGATAAAATTTCGTCACAACTTTTTTTTTTGCTGCGTGCAAAAGAATGCCATTTTCTCGGCGAAGTATAGCGAGCTTCTCTGACGATTTAATCTTGTTGCCGGGAAACAGGATTTACAGGGAAAGTTCAACGAGCCCCAAGCCTTATGGGAAATCTCGTTGTACGCTTAAACTCTTGGATATTACGATGTATAGAAATTTAGTCAGTGAATTCTCTTTCTAAATACGCTTCTTTAAATGTAACACAAAATAATAATTCTACTTGTTAGATATACAGCACATACAAGATTGATGTTCTTTGTGAGTGAAGGTTTTATCAAAACTGTTTCATTTACATACAAAATGAAATGAAAATAAAAGGACAATATTATGCAGTGTAAAGGCGTGAAAACAATACGGTTAAGGAAAAATATAAAATTATTACTTCAAAGTTCAACGTAATGTAGTAACATAGATGCAAAGTGGAACTAAGACTTCCCATTATTTTTCCATATTTCGTAAGATAATTGCTGACGTTTTTATAGAAAACAAATTATTTGACGATTATACTACTCGTACTTTAGTTGTTAAAATTTAAAGAAATCTTGAAATCTGAAAAATTTAGATCAAAATAAAATACATAAAAATATATGTTTAGCACTAAAAATATATAAAAAGATTTTTAAATATGAAAAGTAATCATGATATTTCGCTTTTATTCTGAAACAAATATAGCACCTGCTGTTCCAAATTCGCAAAAACTAAATCCTTTTTGAGTTAAGGTTTAGTCTCATATGAAGATGATGAATATTTCTGAGTTAATTATTAATCTCAATTATATATGATAAAGGCAAGTAAATAGTAAGTTTTAATTTTGCCTTTTCAGTATTATTTTTGTATTTTTATAGATTGTATTTAGTTTATTTTGGTTTACGTGCATAATTCGTGTCAGGGAAGTTCAAATAGGCAAGGGTTTCTAAATTACTTTGGTTTTATACTCTTAATTAAGTTAGCAATGTACTTTTAATGAATAATTTTGTTTTCCTAGTCGATTTGCGTACTAAATTTCTCGAAATTATTTAATAGTTTAAATATCTTATTTAAGCCTTTACTACATTTGATTTTACTTTTGGTTTTAAATAATACATTACCCATGCTTATATGTATGACGAAACACGAATTGAGTAATTGAAAGTTAGGTTTGGAGGCAAGTTCCCCTTGAAAAGATCTGTCTCCTGCCTGCTCAGCAATTATTCATCTTACGCACGTTAATTTAATCTTAGAAATTCTTTAAAATTTTTTGGATTATTAAATATTATTTCAAGGTTTTATATACTTGCACTTAATTTACATACTCTGTCTGAATTTGAATGATACTGCAAATTAGTTCGCAGCAATAATTAATCTTTCATTTGCATACAATTAAATTTTCATAATTCTAAATTTAAATTTAAGGTAGCTTTAAATTAGAAATATTAAAAAATATATTTTTGTTTCAACAAAGTAAAAACAGAAATATTTAAGTGGCTTTTCCTCCTATACACTAAAATAGTTCATTATAGCAATTGCAGTTTGCTTTTAATGCAGATCACACTCATGTTATTATTAATATGAAAAACACTGTTTAATTACAACACTCATAGTATAAAGTAACATATATTTCAATATGTTGTTAAGATGTTCAAGACTTTTAAAACGAATAACTTAACTGATCTCAGCAATGCACTTTTGCACATTGTTGTGTTCAGGACCATTTGCAACATTAAAGATAAATGAGAGAAATTATTTAACATGCCTTTTTACACAGGATAAGATTATATTGGAATTGAAGAGATGAAATTATTAAAATCATTGGAATTGAAAATTTTGTTGGAATTGAAACAAGAAAACTTTAATAAACAAATTCGCATATACCTAACGAATATTCTGATGACAAAATTATAACGATCTATATTGTGAAAATCATTGTTCTTTTAAATATAGAATACACATAAATTATTCATCGATTAACCGATCAGAATAAAATTATTCCAAAAAAGAGTTTCAGACACGAAAGTTATGCCATTGTCTTCATCAACTCAGATATTTCTCATATATTATACGTTAATCTCTGTACTTCAAAAGTGCCAGGTAGAAGTACTGAAAAACCACATATGGTTAGTAAATTCGTCTTTAAAGGAAAAAAAAACACTTTCTGTCGTACAGAATTTGCTATATCTGAACTGTACCTTACGAACAATTAAAACGATGCATCAAACAAAATCTCCCAGTGTAATTGATCGCAACTGCTTAGTGGGATTATTTCGGAAGAGTGAGAAAGCTATAGAATCGTACAAGCTGAAGTACAGATCTGAAGTACAAGCTCTAGGCGGCTATTGCATCAGTCGTAGTAAACATAAAATCTCACGCCTTCTTAGCATGCCTTCGTGGTGTAATGGTCAGCACACTTGGCTCGTGTTCGAGAGCTCCGAGGTTCGAGTCGCGACGAAGGCATTGCTCATTTTTCACGTCTCTCAGCATCAAAAATCCTGATGTATTACAAATGTTTTGAAAATTTAACTTGCAAAACAAGGTTGACTAAACTTAATGCTGTGGAAAATGAATTTGCACTTAATTGATTAACAATAATCACGGATTTCTAACTTATGGTCTTCCATAAGATTAGTATTTATGTGCTGACAAAAATTTTTGAAGGCAGAAAAATATTTCTTTACAAATGAACAGCTGTCAGTCTGGAACTGTCTTCATATATAGAACAGAGACATAAATAAATTCTTCTAGGCTTGTTTCGCGCAAGAAAGGTCAGAGTTATGTATCTGTTTCCTCACTAAGTGATGATTTGGTGCCAGAGGCTATCTGTTTTTTTTTCGTAGTAAAGCTAAGAGAGATTTGGATGCTTTGGTCTCCTTTGAAAGCCAGCACATGGATTATACCAAGAAGAATTTGAGGAACGTTATCAGCATTGTTATGAAAAGAAATATTTTAAATGCTTATAAATCAACTAATTTCAAATGCTTATAACATTGCTTAAGACTGTTGGCTTTAAAACATTGGTATCATAGAAATTCTTGCGACGTGCATATGCAGTCTCCTGGTAAAATGCTGTTGACAAATGGTTAACTATTTCATTAGACTGAGGGAAACTCTGGAGAAAGTTAGATGCTTGCTTTTCGCCCTTGAGGTTCTTTTACTTCAGAATATTTCAGCTCTAGATTTCTTGGCCCTGAATTTTCAAACTCTGTAAAAGTTTTTTTATTGGCATTAGGGCCACAGTTTTCTTAAATATGAATTCAATAAACAGAATAAATTTCAATGTAGTAATTTCTGGCTTAAATCTGGTTATTAGTAATTCATATCAGGTAATGATTATGAAGCTAAACCAGAATGGGTTATACGAAGTGACCTAATTGGACGTAAAGTCACTAGACATGCACTCTGATTGCAAGAAGTATTCGAAATGATTTTGATAAATGAAGTGGTGAAATAATGAACTTCTGATGAGAAATAGAATTCAGCTTCCGGGAAGTAACTCTTTGGCTCAAAATACAATAATATGGATCTACAGACAGTATTCATAATACTGGTTGCGAGGATAATAAAAGATCTAGAGAATTATGTGAATCACGAGTCTTAAGACTTATGTGTGACCAAATGTAGCTGCTTTAGTTATTCTATGTACTACTTACAAACTTCTATCAAGGGAGAACTTCGAAAATTATTTTAGCTTAATTATTTGATCTTCAGATATAGGCTTAGCATATAATTGCAGATCAACATCACAAATAGAGTTTCTTAAAGTATTCGGCATTTTCCCTATCATTTATGATTTTTTTACTTTAATTAACTGCAATTGAAGTCAATCTTAATCAAACATCATCGAAATTTCTTTATCA